TTAAATTTTTTGTGATAGTAAGGTGGTACAAGTCCATACCCTTTAGAGATGACAAATCACTACTGGATTCAAAGTAAGCACTTGGATACTTTTTCTTTTAGTTGAAAACTATACTTCTTTAAAAGGTACCGCTAATTTCCTCTCCTGGTTTGTTGGATTGGATTTTGTCTTCTTTAATATATTCTAGGTTCCCTATAAGATTCTAAAGATACTTGAATACTTTCCCATAGGCTCTTTTATAAATATTTCTATATCCTTATATATATCTTATACCTGATTTTAAATGTTTACACATCCTCTCTGCCCTATTCTCCCTCTTATATCTGGCCAGAACTCCTACAGGTTTATCTCAGGTCTTGAATATTCTGGCTCTGTGAGTGATGTATTAGTTTCCTATTGCTGCTGTAACAAATTACTACAAACACTGTGGCTTAAAATAGCACACATTTACTATTTTATAATTCTGAAGGTCTGAAATGGGTGACATTAGACTAAAATCAAGATGTCATTAGTTTTGTGGTCCCTTTAGAGACTCTAATGATGAATGTGTTTCTTTGCCTTTTCCATCTTCTGGAGATGGCAGGTAGGGCCCATAGCCTGCCATCATATCACTCTAATCTCTGCTTTTCTGACTCTCTTGCCTCTTTCTTTCAATTGTATGGTCTCTTGCCCTTGAATTGGTCCACCCAATTAATCCAGAATATAATTTCCTCATCTCAGCACCCTCAATTTAATCACACCCCTGGGTCTTTTGCCATGAAAGGTAACGTACTCACACATTCAGAGAATTCATAAGGAAAACTTGGGGGTGCCATTTCCAACTCTTGGGAGGAAATATGTTCCTAGCCTGGGGAAAATAACCCTTGAAGCTGAAATCAGTCAAATGGAGAAATAAAGTGAGAGAAACCTGTTTATTGCCTAAAAGCAGTTGTTTATTTCTGCTTGCCTGTGTCTCTGGTCACTTGGCTGCAAAAGGGCCCCATCAAACTTCTCCAGTGCCAGTGCCTGCTCACTCTTCACCACCTGTGTAATCACCTATTGATATGGATATGGACTACTTCTGTCCACCTCTTGGAAACACTTATTGATATGGAGATGCACTGAGGTCAGGCAAGAGATTCTGGAAATACTGCAATTTTACCCACAGCCCACCCCTCCAGAAATCTCGCCTCACAATCTCCTTGCTCCCCATCTTCTGCAATGGCCTCTATGTGAGAAAACTGGAGCACTGTAACTAGATGAATAACATAAAATAACAACAGCAATAAAATCATGATAATGATCAAGCTGGAGGATTCAGCTAATTTCAAAGTCCAACTCAGATTAAGTCCGTAGCTTACCCATTCCATAGGAGGCCAATAGCTGAACAGTTGGGAGTTCACTGCACTCATCATGCAGCAGGTGCAGCCTGGAGGCAGGTCCAGGCCACAGTGACTGTAGAAGAATAACTTTAAAGGTGATAAGATATATGTTTTAATGACACCAGCATGTGTTGTAAATCTTGCCCATCAGGTAGGATACATGTGAGAGAGTGGTCCTCTGATAGAACAGTAGCAGGAATGGAATCTTGTCCTGGTCTAGTATACCAGACTTTCACCCCCCTCCCTGTGGGAGTTACAGATGGGTCAATATATAGGGCTATGGGAGGTACATGCACTGGCTGTAAAGATAAATCAAAACTTCCCCATAAAATCCTCTTATCTCCCAGATGTTTTGGGTACACTACCATGATCTTTGGGGGCCACTCTGCTGTTACTCCAGGAATACATCAGAGACTACCTTCCAGGCCTTTTCCCCAGAGTGCCAGAAGGGCTAGCCATCACTGGTCCATGTGTCAAAATGTCCGAGGCCAAGTCCATTCAACAGAGTCTCCAGGGTTTAATGCAGTTGGGGCTGGCAGCAGGATATTGCTCTGCTGACCATATCCTGGCTTCAATAACCCCTCTTTGGTTTGCACATACAGTTGTAAAGGAGAGGCAGCAAGGCATGTTAATATATCCACAGGGCTCAAGGCTCCTTTTCAGGGCTTCGCATTCAAATGCCATAGCACTGTCCTTAAATGAAATGACCAGCCCCGTAGACTATTGGTGTCTGACTTCAGGCCAGATTTCAACAAACCGTTGTACCTGTCTATCATGCCTGACCCGGTAGGGTTATATGGTACATGAAACTTCCACTTTATTCCTGATTGCTGCACCCATTCTTGTATCAATGTACAGTACAGTTGGTGCCTTGATCACTCTCAGATGCCTGTGGCCGGCCATAGTCTTCAAAGGGATGCTCTAGGCCCCTTTTGGTTGTTTGATGATCTGCATGACATTCAGGAAAAGCAACCAGTAGTCGAGCTGCCATATCCACACAAGTCATGGCATACCGATCTCCTTCTGATATGGGCAGAGGCCCAATATAGTCTATCTACCACCTGACAAGGTATGTTGACCCCTTTACTATTGTCCCATGTTGCTGTTGATGGGCTACAGCCCCCATTGTCTTCTGCCCTGCATGCAACAAATGCTGATGTAACCATTGGGCTACATCAGAGGCAGGCTCTCCTTTTAGCCAATGCACCTGGGCCAGTGTATCTGCTTCATCATTCCCTTTGGGGATGCCAAAGGCAAATGGCCAGTGACACGATATACAGTAACTGTCTTAGTCTGACCAGAGGCCCATAGGTCTTGCCACAACTCTTGCCCTCAAATGGGCTGGTGACCAACCGTCCACTTGGCATGGTACAATGTTGGTAGCCACAGGGTCAAGCCCTGATAGACAGCCCAGCTGTCAGTGCAGACAATAGGAGAGGGCTCCTGGGTGATTACAAGCTATACTGCCTGCAACTCAGCCCATTGGCTGCTCTTCTGCTCTCCATCCTCCATCCATACTGTCTCAATCTTAAGATGGAAAGCCACAGCCCTCCACTTCAGGGCCTGCCCACAACTGGAGCCATCTGTTTACCAAGCATCTTCAGGTATAGGGGATTTTCCCCCTGATAAGGATTCTCAGCTACCGCTGGCCCTTCTTTCCATCAGTACACATCGTTGGCTCCAATAAGCGTTGGAGTTCTCCACTAAGGGGCTAGTATAGATGATGCTACGCTGCTGTAAGTATGTGCCCCATTTGGCCAGTATAGGCATCTGCCACGCCACTCCATGGCCTTTGGGTCCAGTCTCGCAGCCACCCTGCAATTGATAGGTGGTTATTACCTTGGTCGGAACTGTTCCAGTGATGGGCTCCATAGCTGGCAAGGCGTGGTACATGGCAGCCAGTTGCTTCTTTATAAAGGTGTACCGGACCTCCTTTCCGTAGTTGTCACCAGAATCCACTAGGTTGGCACTGTTCAAGCCACTGCCAGAGGCCCAGTCCATAACCATCTTCATTTACATGAACGTCTAGCTCACAGGGCCTTGATGAGTCCATTACACTCAAGGCCTGTACAGCCTAGATTGCTTGCTTAGCAGCAGTAAGAGCAGCTGCCCATGTTTCATCCGCATCCCACCTGGTGCCCTTTCATACCAACCAGTATAAGGGCTTCAGAATTTGTGCCAAGTGTGAGATGAACAGTCTCAGTAGCCCAAAAGACCCCAAAACTCTTGTAATACTGCCACAGTGAGAGGGATAGGAAAGCCTGGACATTGTCACCCAAGAAGTCAGATTTTGGGTTTAGAGGTCCTGCTGACTACTGCCAGGTGTAACTACATGGGAAAATATGTTCCCAGCCCAGGGCAAATAACGTTTGAAACCAAATCAGTCAACAGGAGAAATAAAGTGGGAGGAACCTGTTTATTGCCTACAAGCAGTCATCCACTCCTGCTCGCCTGTGTCTCCCATGACCCTGTTGCAGAAGAACCCCATCGCACCTCTCCAGTCCCAGTGTGCTCTCACTCCCCACCCACCTTATAATCACCTATTGATATGGAGATAGACTATATCTCTCCACCCCCTGTAAACACCTGTTGATACGGAGATGCACTAAGGCCAGGCGAGATTCTGGAAATATTGCAGTTTTACCCACACCATTATTCTGCTTTCAACAAGTGATAACAACAAGCTTTCCAAAAGTACCTTGCAGCCTTATTATTTTTTTTTTTTGTAGGGCTGATTCTTTAGTATCCTCCAGTTAATACAGTTCTTTGTACTGTATTCTCACTGAACATTTATTATTTTACACTGAATCCTTTCTAAAGCAATGACTGAATTACAAATTGTCATTTGTGAAGTCTATTCTCTTGAATTCTCTTAAAATCATTTGTTTTAATGAGAAAAGAAAGATTTAGGTCTGCATCATAAACTCATATGCTGCTAGGGCCATGCAGATAATATAAATCAATCAAACTCAATCTGTGTGAAAGACAATGAGACTATAGTTGACCGGCTAGTATACAGCTAGCCTAGAGGCATTTAAGACAAATATTTCTAAAAGGCTTTTAACCAAACTAAACAAGGCTGCAGGCTACAAGTGTATAGACTTCTGATTCAGGTAATAGTTGGATACTTACAGTGTATGTGATCTTCATCTACATTTCAGAAAACCCATGTTTGGTGTCTTGAAGTTTTTTCCCACAGTGATGTACTTAACTACCCCTGAAACACATCATACTAGTTTTTTAAAGTTACTTTGTGTGTGTGTGTGTGTGTGTGTGTGTGTGTGTGTGTATGTGTATCTGTTTCCCAGGTAACCTAACCTGTGATAATTGATAAGGAGTTCACTATCTAGTTAGCTAGAAAGATAAGTCCAGTGATTAAGAGATATGATAAAGGATTGTAATAAAGTTATGAAAACATATGAAGGAGCAATCAATTTTATCTTAGGTTAGGAATTTTGAGAGGTGGTCAGCTAATTCTTGTTAGAGGTGGATGATACTTGAACTGAGCTTTGAAGAATTAATTCTTCAGGAGAATCAGCATTTGGTCTTACTTTACTTACTCTTCTATTGAAATTTCACTTAGTTGGAAAAAAAAAGATTCTTATTTCATTTTTTTTTCATGATTCCTTTTTCCCCAGATTTTGTCCACAAGTGCTTATGGAAAAGATGGCTGATGTTAACCTCAAAGAAGTATCTTTAATAGTAGGTGTGGTTACTGCCTGCTACTGGAACAGCCTCTTGTGTGGTTTTGTTTTTGATGATGTTTCAGCAATACTGGACAATAAAGACTTGCATCCATCTACACCTTTGAAAACTTTATTTCAGAATGACTTCTGGGGAACTCCTATGTCTGAAGTAAGTAATTATAATTTTATGTATTTCAGATTTTTTAAATATTCTGGTAGTTTTTACTGCTAATTCTTTTTTTCCTCAACAGTGTCATCATAGCAATTGCAGATTTTTTTCCCACAAAATTTTATATGAAACATTACATGTTTGTAATAAATTAAGAAGTTGAAAATATGATTATTTTCTTTAAAGCAATACTTGTTTCATTCCTTGGTTGTGTACTTTGGCTTAATCTTTTTTAAAGTAGCGTATGTATGTGAAAACCAAATGTGTTAGGGTAGCAATAGATGTAATACAAGTCTGTTTCTTACTAACTTCTTTTTTCTCATTTGTGAGTCAGGCAAAAAATGATGACTTGTGGTATATTTAGCCATTTAAAAATAAAAGTAACTTCAGTATACTCAGTATACATAGATTAGATTTTAAGGATAAAAATCTCTATGCATATTGCCAATTTTTCTGCAGAAAAAAAGTGATTTATTAGATTGTTTAAATTTGTATCCTATATTTCTTACCTAATGTGTATTTTGATTTTATATTGAGAACTCAAAAAAATTTAGTTCATTTTTATGAGGATGTTTCTACTTTTTCATAACTTTATTTTGAAGGTTGTGTTAAACTGTTTGGGATTAAACCCTGTCAGGTTGGGATCATATAGATTGGATTCTAATTTTAGTTTTAATAATAGCTGTGTGAAATAGGTGGGATTACAGCTTTCTAATGACAAGTCATTTTCATGATCTATAATAGAATAATACCTTGTAGATAAACAAACTGTTTAGTCTGTAGTACCTGGCACATAATTGTTGAAATGTAACATATAGCATTCTTTTATATTTTTTCAGTTATTATTCATGGCCCCTTTCTGAAATCTCCAGATTTGGAATCTTCTCAAGAGTGAGGATAGGGTCTGTCTTCATCTAGTCACAAGCACGTGATAATTTTTTTTTTTAATAAACGGACTTTATTTTCCTTCAACCTTCCTGTTCTCAACCAATTTTAGCCTTTAAAATAAACCTGTTGATAAGGTAAAAATATGTCCTATTATACATTATTTTCTAGAGAATTTTTCCCCCTCTACACCTACTCTTTTTCCCCAGAGATCCTTAGAAACACTTGCCCATTTCCCCCAATTTATGGTAGTATCTGCTGTGATTTTATTCATGACATTGAGATTTTGACCTGAAAGGTTAGCTGGCCAGATTAAAGGGCTCATGAAAGTTTTCATACCAAGGTGTTAAGGCTATGTTTTGTGTTTTCTCAGCTTTGCAGATTGAAAATTTGCTTTTGTTCAGAGAACCTGTAAGTGGACAACTAAGATAAGTCTCATAATAACTCAGATGGAATGGATGAACAAATTAGAATTGGAATTTATAGTGAAGAGTGTCATGTCCTTCTATTTTCTGATGGACATATTCTCTCCCTGGAGGGAAATATGCCACTAGGGAAAAGTTATTATAAGTAGTATTTGGGTGTCCCTAAGGTTTCTTGACAAACTTGGAATTAGCGCATTTAAAGTGCTCAGGGTTGATGTCATCAAGTAATGATAGCCTTGAAGTCTGTGTGTAGGTGCCCAGACCTTTGTAAGCATTTTTGTGCAAGAGGAGATCTTAAAGGCACGGTTTTGGATTAGGACAGTCTCCTGAGCTATATGAATACACCATATTAAGGGTCTTTGGATTCCTCTGGGCCTCTCAGTGTTTAGATTATTTCCTTAGTAAGCCCATTCTTTAAATATGTAGTCCTCTGATTATTGATGCTTCAGTGTATTATAACTCTGTACATTAGAATCTGCCTGGGACTCTTAAAATATATTACCAAGGCTCTACCAAACCTGTTAAGTACAGTTTCCTCAGAGTTGGATATGGGTGTCAGTATTTTTATATTGTTTTGTTTGTATGTGTTTGCTTTTCTGTTGTTTTTTGTGGGACTTTTGTAGGGGAGGGCTGTGCAAAAGGGTTTTTTTAAAGTTAGCTAGGTATTTTTTTCATGTAGCCATAGTTGAAAATCACTGATATGTAATAAACCACACTCTTCTAGCATTTAGCCTATGAAAGTATTAAGGTATTAGAGTAACTTCTGCAAATATCCTGTCTCACTATGTTTATGCCATGTCTACATGGGTATTCACGTTAACCATTAACAGGGAACTGTTAGCTTATTCATTCATTATATTCATGTTTACCTATTTATTGCAACCTAATACTATGAGTAATTAAGTTTTTCTTAAATATACCTGAACATAATAATAATCTGAATTGTTTTGTTCATAATGGAACTAGTTGTTTCACTATATTTTCACAGAGTGAACCTGATATCTGCTAAGATGATGATTGTCATATTGTAGTCTTAGGTTACTAATGAGTTATGTGAATAATAAGTTATGTTAATAATTAATCTATCTTACAGTTTGCCATTACTTATGGCTATATACATCAAACAGACAAAGCAATTATGTATGCAATTAAAAATACCTGTTTCCTACATTTTTTTACTTCATCCGTTCAACTGGCAAATATGTACCAGTGGAGCCCCAGTAACATTTCAAGCATTCACAAAGTTTTTAGAATCTCTTTTGCCTTCTAATATAAATCATGCAAGTTTGATATAGTATCTTAAAAACAATATTGTATTCCTGAGTTGAAATTTGAAGGATGTACAGGAATTAAACAGGGAAGAATATTCTAGGTAGATGGTGTGTATGGTCAGTATAGAGATATTAAAATGTTCCTAATTTCAAATTGTGGCATATTTGTTTTTTGTGCTTCCTGATGTTCCCTCGTAAGGATGAATAGGCTTAAATCTGTACCTGTATACCAGGGTTACAGCAAAATGTGGTGAAAGGTAGGAGACCACGAGAAGCTGGATATGAGTGCCCTTAACTAAAATTACAAAAAATTACCAGGATAATATTTTATACACTTTTGACCTGTGTGTTTTTTTGTTAGGGTAAGTATTTTTGTCTTAGGGTAAAAATATTTCTGGTTAAATATAACTTCTAATTTGTAAAAAAATGCAGTTCTTCACATAAAATTTTATTTATCTACAATAGAGACTATCGTAACTGCTGTCTATTCTCTTATTCTAAGAAAGTTTTTGCTCTTGTATCACTCTGGAATATTTGGGGTGTTTTGGTTTAATATACTTAGATTTATACATTATGGAGGTATTTTTCATAAAATAGCTAGACAGTACCTTTTTGAGTCACCACTATTTAAATTGCACTGATAAACATCCCAATCTTACCTTTCCTTTTGAAGATCTAGCCAGAAGTTACATAAATGCTTGCATTGGTAATAGATTGGGAAGTCAGCTTTGGGGAGAATCCTGTTCTCCAGTTTGATCAATGCCACTATTGTCTTACTCTTTCTAAAACAAAAATCCGTGTATTGAAGAATAATAGATTTTCTTCCTCTACTTGTTAATTCTCTCACCACTCTGTATCAGAGAAGAAATGCCTAGTGTTTGGACTAAGGAAATAGGAAAATATAGATTATAAAGCTATCTTTTATGTTTGTGTTATTCTTGGGTCAATTTATTATTTTATTGTTATTTCTCAGCCAAATGTAGATACCTTCATTAGTAAATGCAGTGATTAATTTATGTACCCCAAAGGCCAAAGTTTAATAATCGATGATTGTTTCTTTTCCTTTTAGGAAAGAAGCCACAAATCTTACCGACCCTTAACAGTATTGACCTTTCGTTTAAATTATTTGTTTAGTGAACTGAAACCAATGTCATATCATCTCCTAAATATGATTTTTCATGCTGTGGTTAGTGTGATATTTCTTAAAGTCTGCAAACTTTTTCTGGACCACAAGAGCAGTGTGATTGCTGCTTTACTTTTTGCAGTGCACCCAGTACACACAGAAGCAGTAAGTAGAAGTGTAAATTGATGTTTTCTTCATTAATAATTTTTTTTAACAAAGCCTACATGTTGATTATAATGCTGTGTATTTTTAAGAAAAAAAAAAGTTTATCCATGACTTTAATCCAGATATTTGAAGACTCATAAATTAGTACAAAAGTCTTAGCTTCCTAGTACACAGTTAACTTCCTACTACATGTTTAAATTTAAAACAAGTTTGGAAACATAAACATATTTTAAGAATATAGGTATAGTCAGTCAACTTTAGTAATATAAAATATTGATGAATACAGGTCTTTACTTTGCTAAAAAAATTTTTATGCATACAGACTAAGTATTTAAGAACTTGGCGCATGGTTTCAAAGGACAAAATAATAAGGCAAAGTTAGGGTATGAAATACACAAGATAAACAAATGTTCTAATAAATGATGATACTTAGTAGTTTCATATTGCCTATCACTATGTGTTTCAAAAATGTGAGCTGTTATTGCCAGTATGTCTGTTAGCCCCTACCTAGGAAGACGTACTCGAACTATAACTTTATTGTTTTTGGAAACCTTGAAGCTCCAAAATTGCCTGTCAGCAGAGCAAAGAGCGCTCTGTTCAGTTGCTTTGTTACAAGCTTTCAGTTGTAAGCAAAAGTGTATATGTCTAAACTCTGTTACTATGTGCATGTTTGTGTGGGGGACAGGGGAGCAGTGGGAGAAGCATTGTCTGTCTCTCCTAGTGTCTTGAACCTTTTGGTGTCCAACTGAACAGACATTTTTTCCATACATTTACAAAAATGAAAGGTGGTTTTAAATTTTACAGTGACTTCAGAATACTCTAAGGAAGGTGTTGGGGATTTTATATTTCAATATTTAGAATTTAAAAGGGCTTTTTAAAGTTTATTAATAGTCTTTTTAAACTTTGATTTGCAGGTTTATTATGAGATACAATTTATTGAATCTTATACCCTTGTATTTTAAGAACACTTATCTTTTAAGAAAATATGTAAGAAGGACTTAGTTTTTTTTTTTAAGAACTACTCTAGATATTGTACTTCAGTTATTTAAGATGTTACCATTTGGGGGAACTGAGTAAAGGGTACACAGGACCTCTCTAACATTTTTGCAATTTGCTGTGAGTCTGTATTTCAAAATAATAATAATAATAATAAAAGAACTGTTAGAGATACTGATGTTTATTTTAATGGAAGAGGCACAAATTCACCACATGAGGGCGCTCAAAGAATGTACAAAAAACAGGCATTTGAAAAGTTAGGATAATTTAATTTCTAGTAAAAATTCGGCTACTATTATATATGGTTAAGTTTTCGAGATGCTCTTTATTAATATGAACCTGTGTCCCTTTTCCTTTTCTAGGTAACAGGTGTTGTAGGAAGAGCAGAACTTCTGTCGTCTATTTTTTTTCTAGCTGCATTTTTGTCATATACCAAATCAAAAGGACCAGATAATTCCATAGGTAAATGTCTGACATTTAATTCCTATAGCTATAAACCTTGATCAAGTAATTTTTATTATTCCAAGCACTTCTTATAAAACATACCACACTTGGGATTTATCTTTATATATTATATTATTTCAGCTTGTACGGACATATGAAAGTATGCAACGTTGTTAATATTAAAAGTGTTTGTGTATAGTTTATATTTTATTATGACAGATTCTGTATGATTTCACTTAAAAAATTGCCCTAGGATATAGGAGTTTTAGGGTCATTTTTAGTTTCATCTGGTATTACCTATGAATGATACAATTACCAGTACTTCTGTTGTCTTTCTATAAATAGCACCTGTAAAGGCTGTAAATTGTATTGTTCAGGCAAAGTTACAAGCCTGTTAGCATATAACTTTTTTTATGTATAGATCACATAGGTCAGCTATGTTTTGAGTCCCTGCTGTGTAGCCTACCCTGGAAAGCACTTTGTACACAATAGCTCATTCGTCCTAATGATGCATTAAGCATTGTCAGAAAACAAGTTCCAGGAAATAAAAATGACTTTTTAAGAGTGTAGATATAATGGGCATAAAAGGAGCTTCACATAATGGCCTAAACTTGTATTTGCTTGAACTTAAAATGTAACGAGGTTTTTTTCCTACATTCTTGGAGAATTTTCACACTAGAGACTCAAAGTAGTGATTATAAGGAGCTTACTATTGTATGCCTGGAAACTAAAGTTCAAGAAATAAGTGATTTACCCAAACAGCTTTAGTACCTTCTTTGCTTTCTCTGCCTTAGAGTGGACTTGCAAATTAGTCGGAAGTTCTGAATTTAATATCAGAAGAACCAAGTTAAACTTATAGTCTCCCTATTATGCATGACTTCTTTTAAACTTCCAAAATTCTTTCCTTATCTTAAAAAATGGGTATGATTTATATCTGCCCTCTTATCCCATAGAGTGATTTTGAGACTCAGTGCAGTAATATATGCTATACTGGTTATATAAGCTGTTTAATATAGTTTTAAAATTTCCTTTTTTAAGGATATTTTTTTCCACTAATTTTTAATATCTGAGTACCCATCTAGTCATACTATTCTGTATATCATTCACTTGCCAAGCTTATTTCCTTCTCTGCTCTTTTATTCATATATACCCCTTTCCCAATTTTTTCATGACCTATATATCTTTCAAGGTCCAACTTTAGGTTCAGCTTGTTTTGTAAAGAATCATCTTCTGATTTCTTTCCTCCATGAATTTCTTGTTGAATTTAGCATGATATTTCAGCCTTTGGTATAATCTGTTACATTAGTATTGATGGTTTTGGCTTAGCTAGAAGGTAAGATATTTTTGAGGAAGAAATACTATTATACTTAGCATCCCCAGCAGTGTTTTTGGGCTTTTTGAGTTGTTTTTCCTTTCAGTAATTTTAGTGTACAAAGTACTTTAAAACTGAAAAGAATTTCAAAAATGCTTGAATATATTAGCCCAATGAAAGAAGAAAATGGATTCATGGATTGTGTTCTTGTTTACATATAAACTTAAGCCAGTTACTGAGTTTTTGTTTTGACTAATGGTCTTAGTAAAAACTGTGGTCACACAGTCATACTACCATATATATTCTAAACTGGAAAAGAATTGGAGGTCATGTTTTCCCAGTAGGAAAACTGAAGCTCTTAAGAGTCCTCCAAAATCACAAAGCAAGTTAGAGTAGATCCAAAATTACTGTAACAATTCGTTTTTCTTGTAATCAAGTTATTACAAAATAGTATACATTTACTTAAAGTTGATGAAGGAGGCTTTCCATTTAAATAGAACTTGTGACTAGTTTGTTGGGAATTTTTAAAGAACAGTATTGGCTTAAATGCTTATTGTTAACTTGTTTCAATTTTTCATAGTTCTCTGAAAATAAGAAGGGCACTGTTTTGCCAAAACTAATTTGTAGTTTTCAGTTTCAAGTTTTTAATAAACTGCAGATATAATAAAATATATAGCTTCCAGTGTGATATTCTCATGTATTTTCTTCATTTCAAATTGAAAGTTCATCTATTATATTACAGTACTCAAGCCTTTAAGTTTCTCCTTTCCAAGTTGGCCACTATATCTTTGTTTTAAAAGTTTGTATTTGGTTAAATAATTTTCCTTCCCACAAAAATTTTTCTAGTTCAAATTATACATCTTGATGTTTTATTTTGAATATATAGAGCAAAAGTTACATTTAAATACATTTAAGATATAAAGTATAGGTCAATGGGAAATAATGCAAATGTGGATATATAATCACAAGTAAAGTTTCTCAGTGATATCTAATAGTTGTCTAACTTAAAATATCCTTTTATGGTATTATAAAATTGTTTTGTATAGTTTTATATTTTTCTGTTCTTAATTGCAGTGTGGACTCCAATTGTGTTGACAGTGTTTTTAGTGGCTGTTGCAACATTGTGTAAAGAACAAGGAATTACAGTTGTGGGAATTTGCTGTGTATATGAAGTATTTATTGCCCAAGGGGTAAGGAGAAATATAAATTTTCTTGTTGCTATTTTTTTATCCTGTTTGAATCAGATTATAATGAACTTATATTCTAGATGGATCATTATATGTCAGTTTACCAATAATGGTTCCAAAAATTTTCAAGAAATAAACATGTTTTGTCCTCATGCCACTGAAAAGTAAAATAACACCTTCAGTTTTTTAAGAACTACTTTTTCAGTTTCAGTAATGGAATCATTAGGCAATTTGGAAAAATACCCTCTAATTCTGTACAGTATTAATACATAATTTGATAATATTATTGGGCACAGTTTTATTCATTATCAGTTCCACAGGTTGTTCCATATTGATTTTATAATTATAGTCATTTTGTATCTAATCTTGTATATAGGAAGTACTCCATTTTTGAAAACATTGTAGTATATTATTACTGTTGTTTAAAACTATTTTTTGTTTTCCAGTACACTTTGCCATTACTATGTACCACTGCTGGGCAGTTTCTCCGTGGAAAGGGTAGTATTCCATTTTCTATGCTGCAGACACTAATAAAACTCATTGTTTTGATGTTCAGTACACTATTGCTTGTTGTAATTAGAGTGCAGGTTATTCAGTCTCAACTTCCAGTATTCACCAGGTATGAAATTTTGGTTCTTCTTTGATTTTTTTTTTCATCTTTTTTTAAACTTTAAGTTTTAAGTGATTTTAAATATTCCAGAAAGTATTTAATTTACATTGAGGTTCCTTAACAGCTCTATTGAGGTATAATTATTTTTTTTATCTGCATATTATATAAAATGTATAAATAAGTAAGTTTTGACACATATGTACCACTCATGAAACCACCACAATATGTTGTCTTCTATATTGTTAGTAATTTTTGTCTTTTCCTATTTATTTTTAAGAGAAGGATATTGAAATCTCTGACTAGAATTGTAGATTTGTCTGTTTTTTCTTGCAGCTCTGAGTTTTTGTTCGCTTTATTAAGTGCATAAACATTTAGAACTGTAATGTCCTTTGGATGAATTCATCCTTTCATCTTTATTAAAAGAATTTCTTTATCCCTAGAAATAGTTTTTACTCAGAAATTCACTTCATCTTACATTAATATAGCCACACCAGCTATCTTTTTCCAACCTTTTACCTTTTATCTCTTTTTATATTTAAAGTGGATTTCTTGTAGGCCTACATACACTGGGATCTTCTTTTTTTTTTTTTAGTCGGAAAAATCTTTTAGATGAGGTTTTTCAACTATTTACATTTAATATGATTATTGATATAGTTTGATGTAAATCTGCCATCCTGCCAATTGTTTTCTCTTTGTCCCATCTGTTGTTTGTCCCTTTTTCTGTCTTTTGGATTCAGTATGTCTTACTATTCTATTTTTATCTCCTTGTTGGCTTATTAGCTATAAATCTGTGTTGTTTCAGTGATTTGCTATCACAGTTTATTTTTGAGGGATATTTTAAGTATATATATATCATAAATGTTAATATATATATATAGTATAAACATATGTAATAAATAGGTTTTTATTAAATATAAATATATAAACTTATAAGAACTTAGCTTTTGTGGTTGCATACATTTTCCTTGAGTATACACTGTAAATTCCACAATACATAATTGTACTTTTTGCATTAAACAATTATCTTTGAAAGAAATTTAATAAAAAATCCTTTATATTAATCCAGAGTTATCATTTCTAGTGTTCTTCATTTTCTTGTTAGGTTAGGATTTTCATCTGGTACCATTTTTCCTTATGACTGAAGGACTTTTCCTTAACACTTCTTGACATATAGGTATGGTGGTGATGAAATTTTTTAGCTGTTGTACATGAAAATATTTTTACTTTGCCTTTGATTTTGAAAAGTATGTTCCTGAGTGCAGAATTCTACACTGACTGTTTTTCATTCAGTACTCTATAAATGTTGCTCTCCTATTTTCTGGCTTGCATTATTTTCAATGGAAAATCTTCTGTGATCCTTATCTTTATGTTTCTGTGGGTAGTGTCTTTTTCCTATGTCTGCTTTTAATATTTTCTCTTTATCATTGTTGGCATAATTGGCATATAACATTATATTAGTTGTAGGTGTAAAATGTAATGATTTGATATATGTATATTGAGAAATGATTACCACAGTAACCATACTTGACATCCATAAACACATAATTAAATTATTTTTGTGTATGATGAGAACTTTTAAGATCTAATCTCTTAGCAACTTCCAAATATCCAATACAGTATTGTAAACTATAATCACCATGCTGTATATTATATCCCCAAGACTCATAACTGGAAGTTTGGTTAAGGGTGGTCAAGGTACAAGCTTCCACTGTTTCTTCTATTTTCAAGTTTTTTGTGCTTATGTTAATTGAGTTTCTTAGAATTCTGTAGGTTTTATTTTATATAGATTATGGAAAATTTTCAGCTGTTCTTGAAAATTTTTTTCAAATTCTTTTCTCTCCCTGCTTCTTAAGGGACTCCAATTACATGGATATTAGGTTTCTCGAAGTTATCACACTGATGTTCTGTTTATTACTCTCCCAAAACTATTTTCACTCCATTTGCATTTTGGATACATTTTTTGCTGCTGTTTTCAAGTTCACCAATCTTTTTTCTGCAATATCTAATCTGTCTTTAATTTCTTCTAGTTATTTTCATCTCAGACATTGTTTTCATCTCTAGAAGTTCTGTATGAGCTTTTTTTGTGTTCCATGGCCGTACATGTTCTAGGGCTTTAATGTCCTTGTCTATTAATTTTATCATTTGTGTCATTTCTTTTCAGTTTAGATAGAATAATTTTTCTTCTCATAGTGGTATTTTCTTTTTCACATGCCTGGTAATTTTTTAATAGATGCCATATGTGAATTTTACCTTAAAATATTTTAAAACCTTGTTCTGGGATGCTTTTAAGTTACTTGAAAAATATTTCCTCTTCTTATCTTGCTTTTAAGCTTTGTTTTGTGAGACCTACAGCATTTGGGATAGGGCTAATTTTGCTGCACTACTGACATGACCCTCTGACTGCTCTACCTGGTAGACTATGAATTATGAGGACATCCATTTTGGTTAATGAGGAACTGCTAATAATCCCAACTGTGTATGCTCCTTGGGAATTTTTATTTAATCCTTTTGAGAGGTACTTTCGTAACTGTTTCAGGTTTCCTAGGGCTGCTAAAACAAATTACCAGAAACTGGGTCTCTTAAAGTAGCAGAAATTTATTCTGTCACAGTGCTCAAGGCCAGAAGTCCAAAGCCAACGTGTCAGGCACAGTTGGTTCCTTTTGAAGGCTCTTCCTTCTGGAGGTTCCATGCCTCTTTCCTAGCATCTGGTGGTTCCCACAATCTTTGGCATTCCTTGACGGGTAGCTTCATCAATCCAATCGCTCCATCTTTAACTGGCCTTTTTCTTTGTGTGTTTTCCTTTACTCTTGCCTCTTTGTATAAGGACACCAGTCATTAGATTTAGGTCATACTAGTTCAGTATGACCTCATCTTAAATAATTTCACTGGCAAAGACCCAATTTCCAAATTAGGTTTCATTTTGAGGTTCTGGGTAAACAAGAATTTTTAGGAGACATGATTCAACCCACCGTACTGACCTTGGGTCTATCCTCACATGTACGTGTTACCAGTTCTTAGAGGACGGAGAACTGGAGAGAGACCCTGTACAGATCTCCTGAGTTCTCTTTTTCAACGGCTTCTTTCTCTCTGGTATTCCACCCACGAACTCCAGCTCCCTGGGTTCCTAGGGCTCCCAGTTCCATCTTCTCAACTCAGGGCTACCACTAGGCTCTGCCAGGGTTCCCGCTCACAGCTCCGTAGACTAAAAACCTATTCAGGAACTAAACTCTTCAGGCTGGACTCCTTTTGTTTGTTCTTTCTTTTTCTCTTCTTTTTTCTTCTTTCAGGTATCACTGAGCTTTTTGCCTGATGCTCAGTGTGTTAAAAAAAAGTTTTATATGACTTCTCCAGTTTTTTTTAGTTGTTTAAAGCCAAAAGCAAGTTATACTGAATTTTAACAATCTCTATGTAATCATCTTTTCCTACTCTAACATTTAGCATTGTTTTTGCATTTCGTCTTCTCACTAAAATTTAAAATGGAATTTACGCTAGTTCCCTATTTAGTTTTATTTAAGTGACTGACGTTTCATGTAAGATTTGCTTTGCTTTGACATGTGCTTTTTCTCTGCAGTTCAGTTATTAAATCAGCTCTCCTATATATCCTAAATAGCTGAAGAGTGATTACAGGAAAAAAGATAACTTTGAATTCAGTTCTCTTGGTTATTTTGAAAATTGACACTCTGACTCTCAAAACTCAACTATTTTTCATATATGTAGATATTCAAATGTGAACATGTTTAAAGATACTACTTACTCAAATAGTATTCACTTTCTCTCAGTGATTTGATTAAAAGAAGACTGAGTCAAATAAGTGGTAGACGATGGTTTTTCATTGACCTAGTCATTTTTGAAATGAGAAATTGGGTTCTTAAAGGACTATACACTAATATAGCCAGTAGAATTTAGAACATAGCCTAAAGAAGTAGAAAATTAAAGCTGTTTATTTAAAATACTTTAAAATAAATGATTTGACTTAGTGTGTAGGAAATAGATTAAATTTATAAAATGTACATTTAATATATGATGTCGTGGGGAAATATAAACTAGGATATAAGCTTATATTAATATATACCAGGACAAAAAGTAATACAAAATGTAACATAGGCCTGTACAGTTAGTAACTCTACACTGGAAATTTGGTTTTTAGTTCCCTGGAAGTCTAAGTGAAGAGGAAAAGCTCATGGGTGATAAGAGTATTCTCCATGACAAGAGCAAAACATAATAATTTTTTCTAGGAGACATTCTTACTATGATTTAGTGCTGAAAGAAGTATCTCATGTAGAAAAACATTGGTGAGTGTTCTCAGAAGCATTCATACAACACATACAACAATGAGTCTTACAAAATTTTTATTTTAATCAGAAACCCATAATTTAATGAAAGCACTTCTGCAGTGTATCATGAAATTTTATGGTATGCATGTCTGATTTGTTCTAATAATACACTTGAAATAAATAACCTATTTGCCCTTCATCAGTTTTTCATAAATATTATTCTTTTCAATTAGACATTTCATAAGGTTAGACAGTTTGAACTCTGGTAAGAATCTGAGGTATCCATAAATAAATGTGTCATGTTTAATGAGGTTATTGTTGTTCAGTATTTTATTTATGTTATAAATTTTGTGTTTTTAAAACAGTCATAGTTTAAATAACTTTATTTTTCGTTCTTTATACAGGTTTGACAACCCAGCTGCTGTAAGCCCAACTCCTACAAGGCAGCTAACTTTTAACTACCTCCTTCCTTTGAATGCTTGGCTCCTATTAAATCCTTCAGAGCTCTGCTGTGATTGGACCATGGGAACAATACCACTTATAGAGTCATTTCTAGATATTCGAAATGTTGCCACATTTGCTTTCTTTTGCTTTTTGGGGGCTTTGGGAGTATTTAGTCTCAGATATCCTGGTGATTCCTCCAAGACTGTTTTAATGGTAAGAAACTTTCTTATTTTTGCAGATAATATATATATAGTTGATTAATTAAGAGACTGCCTTTAATTCATCAAAAGCATCTTTTTAGAGACAGCATCTTTCTTTATTCAACATCATCCTAACTTATGAACTTATTTTAGATTATCCAAAAGTTATATATCAGAATTGGGTATGCGGGCATAATTTGACATATATATTCAGTGTAAAAATTAAAAATGGATATGAATTTCCCTAATTCTGTAGGAATTCTGAAGTGATGAATCATCCCTTCTGGCATCATTTTCTTATATTTCTTTACCCAACTAACTTACACACTTTTTGCAGAAATGGATCATGTTACATGCTTTGTTTTCTTGGTACAGAGTATTATATAAGATATGCAGCTAGAAGTATATACCTTTTCAGTTCTCATTAGCAAAATTTTCATTACTCTCTGAGCTATTTCTTACTGTGTTCAGTAACTGATTATTTGTAAAGTCATTTTATTGTTTTTCTGCAATATTTTTGTAAAGTCATTTTATTGTTTTTCTGTGGCCTGTTTCTTTGTAATTTCTCACTGTCCTATGACTGCTTACAGCAGTTCTGTTGCCTCTTGCCTCAAATTATTGAAGACAATAATACTCTTTAACATTTTCTTGAGCATTTACAGTATGCCAGAAAGTGTTTTAAGTACACTGCAAATGTATTATTTCTGGCTGCAGCCACTAGGCTTATTTATTCAGCCAGTAAAAATATTTCATTGATGCCTATGTACCAGGTAGCATTTTAGGCTCTGAGGTTATGATAAAAAGAAATATAAGGTCTCCGTTTCCAGAGAATTTGCATTCTAGAGAAATTTGAAGCTAATTGCTGAGGTGTAGAGAAGATCAAAAGATTGGGCTTGGGGGAAAGATTATATTTACTATTATCTTTGTACCTTTGGAATTTTAGGTGTCTTTGAAACATTATGGAGATTTGGAATAGCACTTTGTACCTAAAGGTCAAGAAGTCTGAGCTGCACATAGAAATTTGATTGATTGGTACAGAAATAGTAATTGAAACTAGAATGTGGATAAGGAGCCCTATGGAGAGGTTATAGAGCAGCCTTTCTCTGCTGAGGTTTTGTTACTCCCTCAAAGATGGTAACTAACTAGTACCATTCTAGATGGATAGAATAGAGGTTAATTCATACACATAAGGAATGCCTGAGTGTAATTGGTCTTAATTCTCCCTCAGAAAATAGTTGAAGGGAGTAAATAGAGTGGAAAGACAAGAGGCCTATAATTATATCTTGAAAAACCATGTTTAGATGATGTGTAGAGGAGAATGGACTTGAACAGGAGATAGACCACATGCATAGAAAGGTATCAAAGTATTTCAAGAAAAAATGGAATGGTTAACACTAACCAAAGCTGTTGAGTACAAAAGTGAGATCAGTTGGATTTGACCGTTTATAGATGGTCAAGATTGGTCAAGATGGAGAAAAATAGTCAAGATTGAAAATAATCAACTTAAATTTATTTCTGTGGTGTGATCTGATTAGGAGATGAGAAAAGGAAGATTTCTAATGTAGATGAGTCTATAGGGTAGTTTCACTTTGCATACTTAAAAGGATGAGAGACAAGCCTGAGTTTATTGCCCACCTACATAAGAAAAGACTGCGCCAGTCAAGCAGTGGCTTCAAGCACAACAAACTACTGATCTTATGTAGATGTTGGGGAAGTAAAAAGATCTGGAATTGACGGATCTTCAAAGGTTGAAGCAAGTTGATGTGGGGTTAAGGGGAGATTGTTGATTTTTTGGCATTTAAAATCACTTTCATTGGAGTACTCAGTTGGCTGACTTGTAGAAGCAAGGGGATAACACTGATGACTTTGGCTTGCATAAACATATTCATTGCGTTGAAATATTGATTAAGTGGAGTTAAAACCAGGTACTTGTTGCCATGACTACAAAAATCTTTTCCTTAAGGGTGTGGGAACTTGTTTTATACCCGAAGTACATAATGGATAGGTAAGGAAACTTGAAGATACATTGTCCAAAGAGAATATTTTTAAGGAATACAGTTGATTAGAAAGTGGTTGAGTAAATGAAAGAAGGGATGATAATACTGATATTTGTGAGGAGCAGAGGGTTATAGAGTTCAGGCTTGACCGGACTCACCTCTGTGTTACAGGAAGGAAGGAAATGAGCATGAATGTGGATATTGGTAGGTTTAATAGCAGAGAATTGAAGGTATTCTTGTTTAATGGCTTTGGTTTTCTCTTTAAGTTTGGAAGTGTGATCACCTGCTGAAAGTGACATGGGTCAAAAGTTTGAGAAAAATAGTCAAGATTAAAAATAATCAAAGAAAGTGGAGTGAGCCTACCAAAGACCTAAGACTCCTGGGCAGTCTTAAGGATCAATTTGAAGTTGGTGATCATGAATTTATAATGATATTAATCTATTCTGCTTTGGGACCATTTCTAAGAATGCTTTACTGCTCAGATAAATGCAAAACAGATATATTGTAGAATCATGTAGAACTCAGGTTCTGCACCCCCCCCCCAAAAAAAATGGAGGGGTAGGTGAATTAAAGTTTTGACCAGTAAAATAAGGATTTGTACAATGTAACCTAAATAAAACATAGAGAATAGTGCCAATGAAATAAACATAGACCTATATAAATTATATTTCATGTGTACAAAAAGGGGCAGTTGTGACCTTAGGTATAACTGTTTTAAATGTTGTCCTAAACATGTTATTTTTCTTATGATGATATTTTCTAAAGACCTCCAGAAGGGATAAGTAGTTCAGAGGAGTATACTTGGTAGTATACCAGGTACCATGTTAAGCACTTGTTAACTAAGATGTCATATGTGTATCAACAGTAACTAAGATGTCATATGTGTATCAACAGTAAGTAAGTAGTCACAAGTGATTGAGTAGTTCTCTTTATATTACATAGGAAGTAGGAAGTGAAGCATTTGTCTCCAAACTCTTTGCTCTTTCTACTACCATTTTCCTTTTACAGAGAGTTTATATCACTGGAAGAAGCAAATTATGTTAATCATATTAGCTAGATTGGCAAACATTAATACAGAACATATTAGAACTTCTAAGTAAGTTAATCATTAGAGACATTACTTATCCAAGAACCAGTAGATTTTTTGAGATTTTGCCTTTCTCATTGGGTAGCTTAGGCTTCAGTCAGTCCATCAAACATCTTTGAGTGAATTTAACACTTTTAATTCTTTCAATTTAAATTGCTTTACAGCAGCCATGAATTAATAGGGAATATTTTTTTAAAAGAATGGCTGGTATCAAAAAGGCAAGAAATAATAAGTGTTGGCAAGACTGTGGAGAAAAGGGAACCCTCATGAACTGTGGGTGGGAATGTAAATTGGTACACCCTCTGTGGAAAACAGTATAGAGGTTCCTCAAAACTTAAAATAGAAATAATAGGCAATTCAGTGGTTCCACTTCTGGGTATTTACCAAGGAAAGCAAAAACACTAATTCGAAAAGATATGTACACCCCTGTTTATTGCAACATTATTTACAATAGTCAAAATATGGAAGCAACTTAAGTTGTCTATTGATATGAATGGATAAGGAACATGTATAACATACATATGATGGAATATTATTCAGCCCTAAAGAAGAATGACATCTTGCCATTTGCAACAGCATGGATGGACCTAGAGGGTATTATGCTAAGTGAAATAGATAAGTCATACGATTTCACTTATATGTGCAATCTAAAAGACAAAACAAATGAATAAACAAACAAAAATAGAGAGTCACAGATACAGAGAACAAACTGCTAGTTGCTGTGGTAGAGGGGAGAGGGATGGGTGAAATAGATGAAAAGGATAAAGAGGTACAAACTTCCAATTATAAAATAAGTCATGGGTATGAAGTACAGCATAGGAAATATAGCCATTAATATTGTAATAACTGTTTGGTGACAGGTGGTACCAATACTTACCTATTGTTACAGATGGTGAGCATTTTGTAATATGTAACTTTTGAACCACTATGTTGTATACCTGAAACTAATATAATATTGTATGTTAACTACAAAGAAAAAGAAAAGGGATACTTGTTTAAAAACATCTCTGTTTAACAGCTAGCTGGTTATTTTTATCAAGTACTTCTGGGAAATGGAAAGTGAATTATATACTCTTACTGTTTTATTACCTATTTTTATTAAAGGGAAAACACTTAAATCTCAGACATATGAATTGATATCATACTGAACTGTTTGATGATAGTGCTTTTTAAAATTCAGGATTTCTTCATTACAAATCATCCATTTGTGATCCATTGGGATAGTACTCTTTTTAGTGTATATACCTCTCTGCATTTATATTTCACTAATAAAGCATAATAAAAAGAAGACATTCTTTCCCCTTGAACTGTTAGGAAACTCTCAAATTTATGAAGGTGAAAGAACAACTTACATAAATTTATTAAGTTAGATACATAAAACAAATCAGAGTAACAAAATATGGAAGCAGATGTCCATAGAAACAGAGGTCCTAATGACAACCAGCTTCCTTCCTTCCACAGTTACTTGTGTGCTGGTTATTGGTGTCCTACCTTTTAAATGGTTTTATAATGTGAAAACCATATGCCATCCCATTTTCAAAATGGCAAAAAAACCTAAGCATTTTTGTGATGTTTTATTTCAGTGTGCAGTGTTAAAAATTTTAGAAATTCTTATAGAATAAAAGTTTATTTAAAGGGGGCTGTTTTATTTTTATTATTTTCTAAGTTCTGTTAAATGTTTGTGACCCATCAATATTATGCAAAGTAATGCTAAGGTACAGAGGTAGTATTCTGCTATCTTGTGTGAAACATGCTTTATTTTGTTTCTTCAATTTTCAGTATGAAGTGGTTACTTACATTAGTAAAATTATAAAAATCGGCAAGTTGGGTGTATAAAAACTGTCAATGTCTTACTTTAGGTATATTTTTTTTAAATATCTTTTTCATTTAATTGAATGAGTCTTAATTATAAGTTCTAGCATTCAAGAGGACTTGCTCTCACCTTGCTGACATACATCCTGATGTTTGTTTTTACTACCCCAAATTTGCCTTCTTTATGTTTAAATTAATACTCTAAGTATTATTAAAAGTGGTCCACCAGTACATTATCCAAATTAAATGATAAAATATCTGGATTTAACTGCTTAGTGTCCATATATTTTTTAACTAATAAAGTATCTTCTTTTTCTTTGTAGGCACTTTGCTTAATGGCATTACCATTTATTCCTGCATCGAACCTGTTTTTCCCAGTTGGATTTGTTGTTGCTGAGCGAGTACTATACGTTCCTAGCATGGGGTTCTGTATTTTGGTAGCTCATGGATGGCAGAAAATATCAAACAAAAGGTGAATTAAAGTGTTAGTTCATTTACTGCTTACCAAATATAGAATTAAGTGTCATACATGTAAGTGTTTAATAAAATGTTCATTTAGTTCAGTTTTATAAGTTATACTTTTATAACTTTTGTATCTTGATAGTCTCCTCTTTTGCTTGTAATTTGAGTTAGGAAAGCTCTAAAGCATCCATCTCACCCTTGTTTCTTCCTCTTATTTATATAATTTTATTTTACAGCTTGAGACATAACAAACTAGGTAAGGCCTGAATGAAAATAGGGATGTTATTGAGACTAAAGTTACATGGAAATGACTGTTTCCATTTGCATATGCAGTGAACTTAAGATATAGTCTTCTTAAGTGAGTCATATTGAGTTAATAAATGTAACATGCATATAGTAAGTAAAGTGTAATTTCTTGCTAACATTGCTGTCTTCTTCATAACCACCATGTCCTACTTGCCTTAAACTAACAGTTAAGGAAGAGAATAGTTACACAATATATATATATGTGAGAAATGGTCATTTGCTGGTCACCCTTAAACCCGCAGAATTCTGACCTATCCTATCTCTCTACAAACACCTAACAAATTTCCTCCTAGGAAATGCTTTTATGTAAAATTTATTTCCCTGGCATCTGTAAAGTGTGTCTCTCCTTATTCTTCCACATATGTTTATTTCTCTTCTCAGTCTCTTCTCACGTTCTTTTTGCTGTGCCTGATCTTTAAATATTTTTTATTTCTCAAATCTTTATTGATAGCCATTTTCTCACATTGCCTATTCTCCCTGGCTGATCATATCCATGTCTACAATTTTTACCACCATTTGCCAAACCTTTCTCTTAGCTTCCACCCATATATCCACTTATATTCATTACCAGGTTTTGAGTGTCTACCATGTGCCAGGTACCATCATAGACCCTTTAGATTTGTTTTCTCATTTAACCTTTACATTCCTTAACACTACTGTGCACATTTGAAAAGTGAAGCTCATAGAAGTTATCTGAATGATGCAGGATCATACGGCTAATAAACAGCAGAGTCTTGATTCAGATTTATATGGACTGCTTTCAGTGTCCATACTCTTTCTGATATTTGCATTCTTAATCTTGGTTAAGTGGATCTATCAAAATGAAAGGAATTGGACTGTTACTGGGGCTAAGACAGACTCAGAGAACATTAGTACTAAATGAGATCATAGGTATTACTGAAGTATAACCATCTTTTTATAGATGAAGAATTGAGTCCCAAATAATTTGTCTAAAGCTATGTAAGTAATTTGCACCTATTTTATGAAGTTAATTTTACCATGACTTCTTATAAACAACTCTAGTTCTAAAATGTAAAATTATTCCAAAAATGTCTTGATAATCTATTATATACTGTAATAAAAATGTTTTTATATATAGCCAGTGATAAGATTGACCCTTAAAAACGTTATTAGGAATATTCAAGTTGTAGGTAATGGTACAAAGGACTCTAAGTATAAAAAATCACAATTAACTTGTTTCATCAGTTTTTATCATTAAATCTAAACAGAGCTTTTGAAATAGAAGCAAAAGTTGAAATATTCCACTGAAGTAGAGGGTAGTATTCATAGTACTTAATATTTTTGGTGTTCCATCTGAAGTTGGATAATTATTAGAAGGATCCCTATTCTTTACAGTAAATTCGAACATGGTATTTGGGGATATTTAGCATATATCTTACTTTTGTTTAAAATGTAAAATGCTTTTGGTGATGTAGACTTTTTTTTTGCTTTTTTCTCTTAAACAGTGTATTAAAAAAGTTATCCTGGTTTTGTCTGTCTATGGTGATACTCACTCATGCCTTAAAAACACTCCACAGAAATTGGGATTGGGAGTCTGAATATACATTGTTTATGTCAGCCTTGAAGGTAAAGTATTATCCAGAATGACAGGAAAGTATTTCATCAATTATTTCTTATAACCATGTCTAAGATGTTTTAACTTTACTTTTAATTAGACATTTAATTGTCAATATTAAATATTTCACCAAGAGATTTATAAAAACAGTCTGTTCTTTATATAATATAAACCATAACCAGTGCTCTGAATAGTACTTAGCTATGTGTCTCTAGCATATATGAGTAAGTCCCTAAGTGCTCTGCAGTTGTTAGAAGCTCAAATGATAAAATGTTTAAATAAGAATACTGTATTTCATTGGTTCCTAAGGTGCACATTTTATTCTTTTAACCTTTGAACATCTCTGAAATTAGAATAAATCTTATAATGAAAGGCATCCTAAAACTAATGAATGGCCTTTTTTCTTAAAATAAAATGATGAGGAGTCTTATAATGGCATCTTAGAGTCAATGAAATAAAATACATGGCAAAAAAATGGCATCCTACTGTGGAAGATAAATCATGGTTACAATACTACAGGATAGGAACTGGTGGAAAAGAGTGATATAGCATTTCTAGAGAATGGACAACATAAATAGGAAAAAGGTTCCTTTTAAAAATCATAAAATTTGTTTTCTGTGCAAGTTATAAGCAGAGTTTTTTTTTCTTCAGGTGCTTCCTTACCAATGCGTCTCTTCAAGTCTCTAAATTCTTAGCTTCCTTTTCCTATTTCTGTGCTCTCCATCACCTAGCTTTACTGGATCACTGCCTCATTCCTATAATATGTGTGACTTCTTTATTTGATATCTACTCAAGATCACTCTCCCCTTGCTCCAAAGCCTGCCAGCAAATGTGCTATTCTTATTAATCCACACTGCTGGACACCAGCGGAACCCCATAATTTTTAGGAATTTTGCTTGTTCCTCACTCCCAGAATGATGCCCCAACTACAGCTTCAGTCACTTCAGCTAGTTATTGGCTAGACACCATCCTCTACCTGCACAAACTGTGCCCATCTGTGAACTCTGAAAGCATAGAGTAATTTAGAACTTTGATCCCTGGACTCCCATAACAGACTGTATGAGTAGCTTTATGTCAAACCTAAAAGTACATAATCAGTGCAATATTTAAACATATTCTCACATCCAAATACCTCCTCTCCCAAGAGAATACCTTTAGTAGAGCAGGAGTTTTCAAACAGCACTATACTTTAAGCAAATAAAATTTTTTGTAAAATTCTAATATATAATATAGATGAAGTCAGATTGCTGTGGTTTTAGTATGTTGGTGTTGAAGGAGAGAGTAAATTTGGTGAAACATTGTTCATTTGGCGCCTTCCTCTCATCTCCAGGGACATCTTTGAGGAACACTTTATGCCTAATAATACACCAAACAAATATCTGTGTTAATTGGAGTAATTATTTTTTTCAAAGAATATCTGAATTATTTTTTTCAAGTTTTTTTAAGGTATAATTGACATAGAACTTCTTATTAGTTTAAGGTATACAACATAATGATTTCTTAATATGTATGTATATATTATAAAAGGATCACCACAATAGGTTAACATCCATTACCTTATATAGTAATAAATTTTTTTTTCTCCTAATCAGAACGTTTAAGATCTACTTTTAAGGTAAACTTCCAAAGATATACAGTTTTGTTTAGTCACCATTACATCTGCAGAACTTACTATCTTGTAACTGGAAGTTCATGTCCTTTGACCACTTTCAGCCATTCATGGACATCTCCATGGAACACTCCATTCCTAATAGTTTGTCAAACAAATATCTGTGTTAATTGGGGTCGTATTTTTTAAAATCGTAACTAATTTCTCTCTGTACTTGTGTGTTTAAGGTAAATAGAAATAATGCCAAATTGTGGAATAATGTTGGTCATGCTCTAGAAAATGAGAAGAACTTTGAGAGAGCTTTGAAATACTTCTTACAGGCTACCCACGTTCAGCCAGGTAAGCATATGTAGTAATAAAACTACTTGAATAGTTTTTTCTTTTTAAAAACTTGACTTTATTTGGGGCAAATAAGGTAAGAGTTTATTTTCAAGCTTTATTCCAAGTGACTTGAATATTACAGTGTTTGATGCTGGCTTATTTTGAATTGCATTGTATGTTAGAACTACTTACATTCTGTAAGCAATTTTTATTACTTTTTTTTAACATAAAAGAGTTCTTGGGTGGCCCTGATAAGCAGTTTTGGTGGAGTGATAGATGCAAAAGCCTCACAGGACTGAGTTTAAGAGAGTGGGGAAGAATAACTGGAGACAGATGGTATAGAAAACTCTTTTAAAAGGTACCATAAGAAATGGTGGTGATGAGAGGGGTCAAGACAGGGTAGTAGGATGATAGGGTTCTTTTGGTTTTTTTTTTTTTATAATGAGAGAAACAAAGCATTTGTGCATCTAACCCATTGAAGCTGGAAAGAGTTCAGATTAGGGAGACAAATTATTGGATCAGTGTCCTTCGTTAGATGAGCAAAGATAAGTAGGATTTGGTGCACAGGGTAAGAACTTAATTCAGTGTAAAAGCAATAGTTAACCTGTGGTAACAGGAGGGGCAGAGTATATGGACATAGATATAGGCATGTGAATAGATGACATGGGAGAAGCTTCTGGAAGTTGTCCTCTTTTTGCTTCTGTTTTCTCAGGGAAATAGAAAACAAAACCATCAGTAAAGAGTGATGAAGGGGGAGGGAGTACTGGAGATCCAAGCACAGGAAGCGGGTATGAAGTAGTCATCCAGGACAGTGCTTCACAAACTTTAATGTGCCTGTGAATGACTTGGAGGTCTTGGTCTTGTCATATTGAATGTTCTGATGTATGGAGGTTTTGAGTAGGGCGTGAAGTCATCTGTTTCTGGTAAGTTACCAGGTGGTGCTTAGCCCATGGATCACACTTTGAGAAACAAAGATCTAGGAAAGTGTATAGACTAGGAAAAATAGGGTATAATTGCCAAGCAGCGCTTACAGTCTACTTACTTGAGGTTAGGAAGACAATTTAAAACTTAACCCGTTGATGTCATATTTTTTCTACTATTTTACAGCTGTGGTGTACAGGCATGGAGAATTTTTTTAAACAGGGTTATGAGTTTTTTCAGATGCATATTATTAAATAAGAAGTAGTGATTATTATAATGGGACACAGAATCTAAGCTGGTTAAAAAGGAATGTGAGGGAGGGTGAAGATGGAGGAAATACAGAATCAGTGATTTATAGATCTGAAGAAATGTTGGGGTCTGAGTAGGGTCTAGCTAGCTGGAGCAATGGTGTTTTTCAGTAGGAATGCTATTGGCGTTTTGACTATGCAGACCTGTATTTCAGGGTATGTACCAAACATGGCCCCCATCCACCAAATGCCATCATTACTTTTCATTCAGAATAATGAGCAAAAAGTACCCACACAAACATTTCTAAATATCCTTGGAGGGGTAGGGAGTGGAGGGCACTACCCCCTGTTTTTTTTCCTACTAGATATGCTATGGCCACTGAACTATTTAACTAGTTAGAGGACAGAGGTGACAATCATTGGAAGAAAGGATGTCAAGGCCAAGTACTAGAAAATTAATCTGTGTAGATTTTGAAATCACTAGAATTTTGACAACTGTGATGTGGGAGAGAATGACAATGAGCCAGGACCTATGACCCAGATTGGTGACTGCAACAAGGAGGAATAGTGTGATGGGCTTAAGGACCTGAAATTCACAGCTGAGTGGTTTTAAGGAGTGAGAATGGTCTGGAAGCGGGAAGGATCAAGGGCACCTACTCTTCCTCCAGGCTGTGTTGCAAAGGATAAGAAAAAAGAACACAGCCACCACTTGGAAGGCCTACTGTATAAACCATCTCTCCAAGGCAAAACCAAATTTCAGTTAGAGAAATATGAAGAGAAAGTTCTAGAAATACAGCTGCTGGTCTAGTTTTCCAAGTTTTGTCTCCTCTGGCTCTTCATGTAGTTTAGTTTTTCTTGAAATACTGAGTACATGTCCTGGGTTTCCTTACTTACCTCTTTGCCTTTGTTCATATTCTTCATTAAGCCCAGACTTCCTCCCTTCTGCTTCCTTCCCATCCACCTTCTACCATATCCTGCCCATCTTTTACAACCCATCTTATATGGCTTCTCTTCTACAAAAAAAAAACAAAAAAAAAAACCTTCCTATCTTTCTAGTTAGAAGCAAGTATTTACTGTCCTTAAAAATCCCTCAAACTTCTGTATCTTTCCTATGATACTTGTAATTTTCTATTTAATACTGTATTATATTTATTTTATTTAAATATTTATTTACTAAAAATCTGCATTTATTTAAGCTGAGGTGCTCCCAAGGGAAAGCATGAGCATCTGATTCATCTTCATACTGTCTGCATCATCTAACATGGTCTTATACACAGTTAATTCATACTTTTCTAAAGCCTCTTAGATTCAAGAGTTTTTAGAGAAGCAAAGTCATCAAAGATATACAGAGACTTTGAGACTTACAAGAATGCTGTTTAGGTCTCTTCATTCTTATCTTTCTCATTTCAAAATCAGGGTAGTAATTTCTATTTCATTGTATTGTTATAAAGACTAAATTAACGTTGTGGGTAGGTATGTATGTGCCTGTATAATTTTGTCTAGTGAATAGTGCATATTTCAGCATGTTGCCAAGTATAGGCACTCAGTTTGAAAATAATTTCTCCCTTATTGTCAGTTGTTGATTTTTGCTGTTTTGGAGATACTTGCTGAACCTGTCTCCTTTAATGTGACTTCCCTACTATATTGTCAAAACTGCTGTTTCTAATAAGTCATGGACTAGAGAAAAGAGGTAAATCAGTTTATTACAGTTTATCATGAAAAAGTACCTAAGTTTAGAAACATTGAATTTGACATTCCAAGGCTTCTTGGCTTATTCCTTGTTTTTTATTAGCTATGTTCTTCATAGATTTGATAGAGGAAATGACATAAGAAAGGAAATCGAGTCCTTTTTAATCCCTGTTAGATATACAGATGGAGATAGATGTATGTCTAGAAATAGGGGAATGGTTAGGACCAGAGATAAAAATCTGGAGTAGTAAGCTTACAGATGGTGTTTCAAACCCTGGAACAATATAGGAGCACACACAGTAGGGATTCATAACATTTGAAAGTTAATTTAAAAAAAATTCAGTCTGAAGACTTTGTTTGCTTAGCCAGAATAAGAATATAAACTATCAAGTGGCTGTTGACCAGGTGACATGTATGTCATGTCATGTTAAATTAACAATTGATTGCTCTGTTATTTTTATAATAGTCACAAGTGCTTAAAACAAAATCCTAATTCACAAAGATACAGTTTTTGCAAATAGAATTACAGTTCCCATGAACACCTTTACAAAACAAGGGTAAATTTTTCTCAGGATATACTAGAATTCTCTAAGGTTTATTTTTGCCTTAAAATCAATGATTCCACTTTTATCCATCTCCAAATCTTTGAAACTGTTTATATCAGAAAAAAGTCATGGACCTGTGGTTCAACTTTGATACCATCAAGATGGAAATACTCTTAAGGAATTCTTAGATGTTTATGAATTTATAAGTGAATTGACTATTTTGTGGATAGGAAATACTAGAAAATGACATAGTTGCCTGGGCCTTCAGGGTGAGAAGGCCTAAGTTTACTCTGGTGGTTGAAGAATCATTAGGCAGAGTTATCTGATACATGCCAGTCCTCTTTACATTGAATTTAAGACAGACTGTTAGATTCCTGTTGCTGTTGATTAGGGAGAGCACACTTATGATAGCAGGACTGTTCGTTGAAAATCCATAGATTTTTGTCATTTAAATGTCATTGATTTTTACATTTTTTCTTCTTGCCCCCCCTCCCATTTTTTTTTCAAATTTAAATTTACCATTCCAATAATGCTGTTTTCTTCTCTGGAATCTTAAAACTTTGTAATTTTTCAAAAAATTTGCTCAGAAATTATGGCTTTCATTTTATTATCTGTATTGTGTAGTCCTTTTGATGCTAAAGACTATCTAATTGCTATCTTAGTTCTTTGAGATAGTTGCGCAACCTTACACTAGTATCTGAAGTTTTCATTGATGACAGTTATCTCTTTGCTATTACTCTTAAGAGCTTGATTATAATTTGCCTCATCTCTCATCCAAATATATAACCTCTTTGTTTTCTAAGATTCGTTGGAGCTGATTTCAGTGACATTTGAAATACCTAGCTGGCATAATCACACTTCTATTTATCTAAACTTTCAGTTTATTATTTCCTTATATTAAATTCTTACTGTGTAATTTTTTCAGGTTCTATATGTCCTTAGTTTTTACTAAGTAACTCTTCTGATCTCTGTAGTAAATGATGCAGATTTAACAGATGTTAAAAAAATTTGAGCTATATAAGAGCAAAGACCAGTCTACTTTTTATATGTACTTTGTAATGCAATGCATTTCAACATTACAATTACCTTTGAAACTTTTTAAGAACATTTTTGCAGATTCCATTCCAGAAGATTCTGTTTTGATAGAGCTGGTTGATGCTACGGTACCTGAATTTTTAAATGCTGCACAGGTATTCTGATATGCATCCGCTATTCAGCCAGGATTGAGAATGGTTAGCCTAACCAATTTTTTCGTTTTTTTTTTTTTTGCTGGATCCCCTACTGAGACCCCATGAAATTCAGCAATACATCCAAAACCAAAAAAATCAACCCCTTTTCCCCAGTCTCCTCCCTAGTTCTCTTATCAAATCTGTACTGCATCTGACAGTTGCTGTGCAGTGCATACAAGTGCTGGCTTGAAACATAATGTAGCAAGATCTTAGGACTGTTACTCTCCTCCTAGGGAAATGCTTAAGATATATATGCTTGGCCCCTATGTGTCCTGGGAGTTGCAGGCAGAGAACTATTCCACAATTGCAAAATCACCGATGTCACAGGCAAGTAGTAATCATAACTTCAAACCTTGTCATGTCTGTTAGACATTCATGTTGAGTAAAATTTGTCTGATTTAAGACCATCTCCCTTATTTCTATCTTTATTCCAAACCTTTGAAATATTTCCTGGGAAATGTATCTTTAAGCTACTGTGCAATTAACCCTTATATCTTTCTTATTTAAATAGCATATTTTTCTGTCCCTGAAAAAAATTTGCTGAGGATTTGATTTTCCATATCAGAAAATGAGACCAAAGTTGCTGACATTCTGATATTAACACAACCTTTTAAAATTTTTTAAATAAATTATATAGGAATTTATCATTATTTAAGAGAAATGGGCTGCTGCTGCATCTTAAGTAATATTATTGAGTCCTGAGATTCCATTATACTTGCATCTTAACCACATTCACAAAAATTTTTACAAACAAGTTTTTCAGTCTCTGCCCCTATCCCACCATGGGTACATATTTGTTACTTAAAATGGTTGAAACAATTTTAGGAATTTTGATGATGCTTTTCACTTTTAGATCCTTTTCACCTTTAGAAGTGAGCCATACTTTTTAAGTGAATTCCAAACTAAACAGTTAAGGAAATGGAAGCAAGCCTTTGTGTAATATAGTAAAATCTAGTGAAGAGAAATGATGTTTCCTCCTTATCTCTATTTCTACCCTCTCGTATTTTAACCCTTCTAGGATCCATTCAAATGTTGTATTTTTTTTCATATTGTATGTGTATTTTCTGTCCTTGGAGTACTTTATTTAACAATTATCTGGGGTAGCATTGATCATATGTTGTAACAAATTGTGCTAAAAGTACTTTGAGAAAGCAGAACCTGTTGCCTGCTTTTTCGTTTTTGGCCTCATGTTTTTGTTGCTGGAAATCTGTCTTAGTAGTTTACATTAAATACTGTGTATTTACCAACAAGATTTTTTTTTTAATCTTAGATGACATTGGTGCCCACATGAATGTAGGAAGAACTTATAAAAATTTAAATAGAACCAAAGAAGCTGAAGAATCTTACATGATGGCTAAGTCACTGATGCCTCAAGTAAGTTATAATTTATTCCTATTGTATCATGTCTGCTAGATGTCATATTGAACAGAATTATCTAGATGGAAAATCCTTATCTTCATTTTGTTGATATAAAAGTAAAGTGTCTGATAAACCATCTATTACTACAAGTTTTATAAAGGATTACACTTTCTAGCTCATGTAATTAAAAAAACATTTCTGTATAGTCTGCTTATAAAAATGAAATCCATAAAGATACAAATTTAGGTATTCTTGATTACAAGTTAACATGTTAAATCACTTTAAGTGAAGAGAATTTTAATTATGTACATTTGGCACTAAATTCAACACTACACCTATCAAAAAATAAATGAATAAAAGCTATAAAATGAGTGGATACATCTCTGTTGCTGTATTGTGTCCATCAGTTGTTACAGTGACACAAGTATAAGATTCACTGGATATCACAGTATAGCATCAAAGTTGGAAAATCTGATCCTGCCCTTGACCAGCATGCATCATCAGTAAATATAGTTTACCCTGAGCTACAGTTTTCACATTTGTAGTATATTATTATCATGTTGATTATAACGGTAATATTAAAATGAGTAGACAGCTTGATGAATGTTTTAAAACACAGTTGGACCACATGATATTTTAAGAATTACTTCAGTCCTAAGATTCTAATGTTAAATTGTGTTCAATATAGATTTTTATCAGATATAGTTTATGTTCTTTGAAAATTTGGATCCATATGTATTATATATCTTTTATTTAACCTAAGTAGCTGGAGAATTTTGTTCCCTAACTGTACCAAACAAGTGATTTTTTTAGTGTAAATCTGTAATAAAATTAACTACTTTATTGTCACAATCAAGAAATATGTTGAGGGGCAAATATGGGGGAGAGAAACCAGTGCATGGCTTCCGGAAAAAAAAAAAAAAATTTTGCTGACAACATGAAAGTTGATGTGGTATAACACATAGCCTAGAGTGAGGGAAAGCAGACCTGAATTCTGAGTTCTATTCCTGCTCTAATGCAAACATACTGAGAGCCTCAAAAAGTTTCTGATTTATATGACTTCATAAACTAATACCTACAGATAAGCTTACAATTTTCTATTGAGCTGGCATGAATGAAAAAATATATCCTTCAATGCCACAAAAATACTATTTTGTTTATATTTTGTGAATAGTGTGGATGCTTTCACATTTTTATGATTTAATATAGAAGCAAAACTAGTAGCATAATCTTTTTATGTTCTATTTTTATTTTAAGCAAGCAACCAGGAATACTTATTTTTTACTTTAATTTGGTACTTGAAGCATCAAATCATGAAAATGCCTTTTCTTCTGAACAGATTATTCCTGGTAAAAAATATGCAGCCAGAATTGCCCCTAACCACCTAAACGTTTATATCAATCTGGCCAACCTGATCCGAGCAAATGAGTCCCGACTGGAAGAAGCAGATCAGCTGTACCGACAAGCGATAAGCATGAGGCCAGACTTCAAGCAAGCTTACATTAGCAGGTATTGTAGTTCACTTTAAGCTATTATTATAGGAGATTGAAGCTGCATCTATCTGCATAAAATTTTGACTATCTTAACCAAATTGGTTTTCTTTTTTCTTGTAGTAATCTTAATTGGCGATCAAGAGCATAGAAACTTAGCCTGTTTTAGACTAACAGTCAATTTAGTTGATTTAATTTGAAATTGATAAGAGAGTCCATAACTTAAAAGTATTTGTTTCCTAAATCTGAATTTTTATTTACATTGTAAGTTTTATATTTAATGGTATATTTTTACCTTTGAAAGTCCTGAAAAATTTGAAGTAATACACAAAAAAATAAGATTTTTGTTAGGACTAAAACACTTTATCCAATTATTATTCATAACTTAATATAACTCAGATTCTATATGAAAGAAAAGGTAGGTCTTTCTTAGTTTCATTTGCTCCTCATCACCAAATTCATTTTTACTTAAAACACCTGAAATATAACATTTTATAATAATTACTTACAATAACCAACTCTCAAGAGCTTTCTTAAGTAAATACTGAGAATTGACTGGTAAGTGATGCCTTTATCACAAAGAAATTTTTCAGTTGTCAGTAAAAAAAATTTTGGCATCACATGTTAGAAATTAATATGCCTTCCCATGTAAGTGTTATCATTCATTATTATACTTGAGGAAAATTATATGTTAAACTTTGTTTTTTAGCTTGGCTCAGAAACCTAATAATAATTTATAACATCATACCTATGAGTAAAATGTATTCAGAATTTGTTAAGTTTTTGAAATAAAAATCTGTTCCTAAGTTGGAAGCTGTCTTTGTTCCTCCTTACCAAGCAATTGTTGAAACTCGCTAAGTTTAGTGGGATTGCATTTATAAATCAAACCCGTCATGTTAACCTATAAAAAATTATTCGACAGTCTCTGCATTAAGAAAATAATATTTTGGACCAGCACTCATTCTAGAAGTTGGTTTAATTGAGAATATTAATAGTTCTTTCATTTCATCCCTATACTGATACTTTAGGAAATAATAGTATCATAAGAAAAGTTATTCTTATATTGCTACTTAAATTAATTTGTCCATATGTACTAGAGAAAAATGACTTTCATAAGTTCTCTAACATAAAATAGAACCGTATTAGAAAGATTTGCAGTGTTTTTTAACTGTGCTCGGTTCCAAATGTGTTTTTCAAAAGTACCTGCAGATGGCACTAGTGCCCTCCCACCCAACCTGATCAGCTTTTTAAATTCTTTTTTGTTATAATGAATGGTGATTTTATAAGAATACATTAAATAAGACTAAGTTAATATAAGAAGAGGTAAAATTTTTCAAACGTTCTATTTTTGTGTAGTGAGACTTGTAACATAGATTTGAATACTGGAATTTCCCCATCACTGCTGTATTTATTATTTTCCTTCTTCAGATGCTATTACTTCATCTCCTGACAAATTGGTCTCCCACTCTGGTTGCCATTAGTTTTCTGAGCTACTCTAGTCCTTTTAAGAAATTATTTTCTCTGTCCCCATTTCATGGATAACTCCCCACATCTTACCCTCTAAAGTTAGGCATGCTTTTTCCTTTAATATTTGGAAACCTATCAAGCCAAATTTGCTAAACCATTGAGTTCAGGTTGAGGACAGCTTCAGGTACTTATTATGTTTGAAAGAAAACTTAAGGAGCCTAAGTTTAAAGGAAAAAGGAAAGCTCTGAATATGTGGAAAAACCTTAATACTAAATAAATAAAAAAATAATGTCTACAAACTGACATGGTGGTGTAAGTAAATCTTGTGTTTGATTTTTCCACAGAGGAGAATTGCTTTTAAAAATGAATAAGCCTCTTAAAGCAAAAGAAGCATATCTTAAAGCACTAGAGCTGGACAGAAGTAATGCAGATCTTTGGTACAACTTGGCGATTGTTCATATTGAACTTAAAGAACCAAATGAAGCCCTAAAAAACTTTAATCATGCTTTAGAACTAAATCCAAAGCATAAGCTAGCATTATTTAATTCTGCTATATTAATGCAAGAATCAGGTATGTTTTCTCAAAAATTTCTATATTTAAACGTATTGTAGTTTGAAATTCAATAGAAGTTTATACTACATGTAGCAAGTGTTTTATGAATGGACAGTTTATATCAAATGCAAAAATGATTTATATGAAAATATTTAAAATCCTTGGAGTAAACTTTTCAGGTAGTGTGCACTAACATATATAACATTAATTCTTAGTTCTTCTGATAATATGTTAAGGCTGATTTGTCAGGCAGTCTGTTAAGTAAGCAATGCCTTTCTAATCTATTTTGGGATTTTACACGTGGAAATATATAATCTCTTAAATATAAACAGTATGCTGGCCAAGTAATCTGAACTTGTAAAATTATTTTTCATAATTATTCCTAGGGAGCCAAGAATATTATCTGTTTTAGAAAAGTTTGTGTTTTGTATTCTCTTGATTTATAAGACCAAATAATTTGGTATCATTTTATATCCAGTTTACTATTTTCTGAGATATTATTTTAAGTTTGTGTTTTGTATTCTCTTGATTTATAAGACCAAATAATTTGGTATCATTTTATATCCAGTTTACTATTTTCTAAGATATTACCTTAATTTCCTATAATGTAGCAAAAGTAATTTATTCTTCACAATAAATCAAGATATTTGATATATAGGAATTTTAGTACTACTTCAGAAAGCAGTGTGTATAATTCATAATCTTAATTTTTATGTTTGGAAAAATCTCCATATTTACATTTTTAAATTAATTCTTTAAATGATATTATTTTAGAGCTAAAGAGGACCTTTGAATTTCCTTTTGCCCATCTTCTGTTTAGTAGATTGTAGAGTAAGGACCAGATTGATCTAAAATCCAGCATAACGTCATATGGCTAATTTACTAACTAGTCCAAGATAAGCACTTAAGCCTACTGATATATTCTGAAAATTTCTTCATTATATTGTCAAATTAAAGAATAGAGGGAGGTGTTCATGCCTGGTATTCAAAAAAAGAAATTTAGAGAGAAACTAATATTTGTGTAAAGTTAGCTAATCCTAGTAATCATGAAATTGTCAAACACAAGATTGCTCCATAAGGGCTGTGATTGTAGAACTTGAATGTCTTTGTATTTATTTGTAATAGAACTGTTTCAATGACTATTTATTTCTTAAATCTTAATTTATATTTACATTATAAGCTTTATGTTGAATGGTTTATTTGTACCTTTAAAAGTCCTAAAAAATTGAAGTAATTTACAAAAAAGTCTGATTTTGTAAGACTGAAACATTTTGTTTATACAATAATAGTTACTATTTGAGCCTTTTTATATATGTCTCATGTAATACTTAGAAAATCGGTAGGATAACCTAGAGAAGTTAAATAACTTGTTCAGTGCATAAAGTCAAGATTGAATACATCTTTGTTTGCAAATTCCTTGCCTCTTCCTCTTGATTTTCTTTTCTTCCTCTGCTGCTCTCAGATTCTATACCATAAGGAGATGATCCCCTTTTGGTGTTTGAGGAATTCTTACTGCTTTAAAGGAAAGGAAGTGAGCTATCATCTCAATGTTTCAGACATTATCTTTCTCATGAAAAACTTCATGGTTTTTGCTTTGTGCTTTTGGTTTTAGATACAGCAGTTAGTTGTTCTGATGCTGTCTCTGTAATCTTTAACTAGATAAACACAGATAAAGTGGCTTTGTTCCTCAGACTTAGTTCACTTGCTAACAATACAAATTTTTTTTTTCTTTTTGAAAAAACTATTTTTAGGTGAGGTTAAACTCAGACCTGAAGCTAGGAAACGACTTCTAAGCTATATAAATGAAGAGCCACAAGATGCTAATGGTTATTTCAACTTGGGGATGCTTGCCATGGATGACAAAAAGGACACTGAAGCAGAGATGTGGATGAAGAAAGCCATAAAATTGCAAGCCGACTTCAGAAGTGCTTTGTTTAATCTGGCTCTCCTGTATTCTCAGACTGCAAAAGAATTAATAGCTTTGCCAGTTTTGGAAGAGTTACTCAGATACTATCCTGATCATATTAAGGGTCTCATTTTAAAGGGAGACATTCTGATGAATCAAAAGAAAGATATTCTTGGAGCAAAAAAATGTTTTGAAAAGATTTTGGAGATGGATCCAAGCAATGTGCAGGGAAAACACAATCTTTGTGTTGTTTATTTTGAAGAGAAGGACTTACTAAAAGCTGAAAGATGCCTGGTTGAAACACTGGCATTAGCACCACATGAAGAATATATTCAGCGCCATTTGAATATAGTCAGGGATAAAATTTCCTCATCTAGTTTTATAGAACAGCCAATATTGCCAGCTGATAAGACTTCAGGTGTAGGAGACAAAATTCCAACTGAAAATGGAGATGATACCAGAAGTGAACCAAGACCTACACAGATAATAAAAACAAGTGATAAAAGTCAGTCTCAATCCAACAAACAATTAGGAAAAAATACAGACAAAGAGATCCCTCACAAAACAGCAAAAGAAATCAAAGAAATTGAGAAGAAAAGAGTTGCTGCTTTAAAAAGACTAGAAGAGATTGAACGTATTTTAAATGGTGAATAGCATTACTCTTTATCATGTGGCAGTGGCTTTCAAAGAACTTCACTTTATATCATGTTATTGCTTATACTGGGAGCTTTGAAAAATAGCAAGGATATGTAACTGTCTATCATGAACTGCCTCTACATAGGATCAAAATAAGATTTTCTCTGAAAACTTATCTTCCCCAGGGTATGTATTATATAAGATATGACAGTAGTTTTCTGCATTTTTGGTGAATGTAGCAGAAATATTAAATTATAGGTGGCAAATTCATATCTTCTGTTATAGAAAGAAAATCCTTTCAGCAAAGCAACCTTGACTATTATCAATTAAAAATACTCCGAGGCCTGAATGATAATAATCCCTTATGGGCAAATCCAGCATGTGCTGGCTTATTCTATGAACTCACATTTATTAGCTGACTTCATTTTCTTATTACCTATTAGAATCTGATTGTGGATTGAAAACACTTGTTGAACACCTTTTTTTTCTTTAGTAACTTCTGTTTAAGGGATTTTGCACTACAAAAGAATGGTGTCTTCCATTATGTTGTATTTAACTATTGACTTTTAGAAGGAATGACAGATGAAACATTTTAAAATAAGATGTGTTAGCATAAGAATGTATTTTCATGATTGTGTGCCTGTCCTTCACTCTAAAATGCAGTTTTTAATCGGGTAAAGTTTTAAATAATATATACATATATATATACGCACACACACATACATACATTTCTAATGGTGCTCATATATACTGTATTTTCATTTTTTATATACTGAGTTTCACAGCATGAACCATGTGATCATGACTGTCTTTGACATTTACTATTCATGTTTATTAAAAGGGTAGTAGTCATATTGAGAAGTCCCAATAACTATAATTTTATTTAAACTTTTTGGGTTAAAAAGTAGTTTCTCTTTCATCTTAGTTTTATCTCTCTAATGTTATTTTAATTTTGTTTCCAAAAACACATCTTTTAAAAAAAAGTTTATTTTTAAACACTTAAGTTCTTGTTATCCTGCTATGGTGTATATTTTTATTAAATATTTATTTTGACTACTGAATTTTCATAGAATGTTAAAGCTGTTTTAATTCCATCAAGTATGGAAAACAAATTACTATTGCATTTTCTTATATGTGCATATTTTACAGTTTGACCAAGATTCCATGATTTTTGGCCTCTCCATCTGTAAAAGGCAATTAGCCTAATGTAGGGTTAATAAATTAGCTGGTTTTAGTAAATTTAAACCTGAGAACTGTTAGGTTGAAGATTAGATACAAATTAAATGTATCAATTTACATCTGATTTTTTTCTTGAGTTAAAATGTATTTCAGATGAGTTTTATATACCTAATAAATCTGGTTTTAATTAAAAATGTTAAAGCTCAAGCTGTCATACTGGGATAGTAACTAATTTCTATGCAGTTTTTCAGAAACTGTATTTCTGTTCCTCTGAGAGAACTGATTTCTGATTATGTATGTTTCAAAACCATATTCCTGTAACTTGTTTTAAAGAAATGTTTTATAATTAGGTCACAAGAAATGTGGTCTGCATTAAAGACCCACTCTAACTAGGTTCCCCAAGGCTCTTAGGCAAGTACTGACACTAGTGATAGTTCATTTTGATCCTTAATATGTGATCCTATTAAGCAGTAAAGCAATATCTAATTTCATTTCTTAAATTATGGCTTTGCAATTCAAGATAGAAGATGAATACCTCAGTTACAATGATTTGAAAAATGACATCTATGTTATTCTAATGTTTTCTCTTCTTGAGGAAAAAGTTACTGAGTTTAGTCGCTAGTGTTACAGTATCAAGTGAAGATAATTCAGAAAAATAGGAGGAAATCTTTCATTACAGCAGACCATAATAAAAGTTTTGAGTATATTAAATTAATTAAATTATGTAACTATTCAAAATAAATGTACTAATGTTACTCAGTGGTTTTTATTGAAAAAAAATTTCTTCCTTATTAGCACTTAGAACAGTGCTTATCATGTAGGAAGTGCTCTATATTTGAATTTAAAATAATTTAAATCACATCCACTCTGAGTAATTTTTCCAAATCAATGTTTGTCAAATCTTACCTCATATTAGAATTACTGGAGGGCTCTTAATGTAGACCTCAACCCATAACAGTTAAATCTGAATTTCTTAGGGGTGGAGCTGTACTTCAGTTTTCCTAAAAAGTTATGAGTAATACTAATTTGTAGTCAATGTTAGTGACCACTCCTCTTAATTAGTTCAAGAAAATTCTCTTTGTGTTTCCTGTGTTAACTTTTTTAGTTAGTAATATAACCCAATTAAGTTTTGATGTTTTAAGTTCTAATAAGGAATATGCTCCTCTGATAACTAGAACTTATTCCATCTTAAACTCCATCAAGGCTTGCTTATGTGTAAAATGATTATTTCTTCTCTTTAAACTCATTATAGAAATGTTATTCCAGTTGTTCAGGTGAAAAAGGCAATGGATTTTTTTTTTACTTGGAGCTGCCTTTTGGGGGGAGTGGAGCATTAGGGACATTTTATCCTTGTTCACTAAGCTGTGATTCAGAGTTGTTAGCATCTGTGTTTGGAAAAGAATTCTTATCATAGGTTTGTGTGCTGGCAAAAGGATGTAATTTTAGTTCTGTTAAAAGAACCTATTCCCCAGGAGTTCTAAAAAAGCTTTGACAATCCCCAAAGGGAAATTTATATTACTCCTTCACTGTTTCTGAGAAGGAAGAATTAATTTTTCTCCTATTGCTCCTACTTGTGTTTCCTCATTAACACTCAGAATTGGGAATTTTATAATTAGTCTAATAAGTAATTTTATGCAGTTGATGGCTTGGAGGGTAAAAAATAAGTTTGCAATTTTGTGTTTGCTTTTATGTAAATATTTGGTATGTGAATTACACAATTCTAATAAAACATGATGCCTTTTCATCTAATTTGATCTCTCAACTTCATGTTATAGAATGCTTCTTTACAGATGTTTTAATGAATAATATTATGAAAATATATAGATTTGTATGTCGATTTGTACTTTAGAAATCCATATATTTGTCATATTTATTTTTTTAAAAACCTCTTAATTGCATGACTAAATGGTATTTAAAATAAACCTCCCAAAATTTTTGGTAAGTGTTCAAAATTTTGCTTGTTGGAAGCTAACAGCCATCCATGTTAAGGGTTTATAAGAAAATAATTCAAAAATTATACATTTTATATTACTATGGTGTCTATGTGTACCATATTTCTAAATATTCAGTATTAAATTGATACTTTTCAAAACCTTAACCTGAACTGCCTTTTAGTTTTAAAATGAAAAATACAGTAATGTATCAAGAGATTTTTCCCGTACAAAGAAAGAAGAGCTGCTGAGTAGTTTAGCAATAATCTGAGAAAGGCACGTGTTACTTTAATTCCTAACAGTGATATATTTTCAACCCTGAGTGAGAGAAACTAAACAAGAAAATGAAACAGTTAACCTCAAACATGGAGTTTTATAACATACAGAATTGGAAGTCAGTGTAGTAAAATAGGTGTTTAAGTTATAGATTTGCCTGGATTCAAATTCTGGTACCACCTATATAGCATAGGGGAAGTTATTTAATATGTATGTACTCTGTTTTATCTTCTGCAATTTGGAGATGCATATATAATCTTAATAACTTAATGAGGAAAGTATATTCTCCAATATATGTGTTATATATATAAATAATATAAAGTAATATATTAAAATACATGCATTTATATATACATATCCTATTGTAATTTCGGCAGGTATCTCTGTAACAGTAAATAATGCATGCTCAACCATATGCACTGTAAATAACCTTTACCAAACATGATTGACAAGTACCATAATTAAGATCATTAGGGAATTGTTATAAACAAAAACCATGAGTTATTTGATTTGATATGATTAGCTTAGTTTTCTTAATGGGGCTCTAAGAATGAAATGAGCAGCTGTAACCAATGGTACTGACCTATTCATTTTGTGTTGTATATTACATTTGGTTGTGGTTTTGTAGCATTGTATTGCCAAACTAGGAAAATTAACAAAATGATTTTCATTTTGCTGAAGACTGGCCTTATTAATGGGTACTTTCCTGGAAAGTAATTACCAACTTCCATCAGGTACTAACATCTTTTTTGGAGCATGGCAGAATGTTTACATGCCAGAAGCTTTGTTTAATTCTATGACATTTCTAATTTTATTTTTTTAATTTAGAAAATGGAAAAATATAGTAAATATAAAATATATTAATATACTTAAATTGCTTAGGATAGTTCTTGGCACATGCAAAGTAAGTAGTAAATGTTTTAATGTAATCATAAAGCTTAGGCTTGCATTTGATGCATAAGGTTTGATTTATATATGTATTAGCAGAGATAATATCAATAATGACCATGGCCACAAATTATTAGACATCTTATATTAATGCTTTTTCCTTAACTAACCCAGCAGGTAAAATATATTTATAGCCTAAGATAAAATATGTTTGTTAAATATTAAACTTATAAGTTAAATTTATCTAATAAATGATTAAAATGCACAATGAGAACTCAAACTATGATTAGTGTCTAAAAGTCTCTGAAGACTTGATCTCAGGTAAATTCATGTTCTTTGGAACCCACTTTCTTCATAAATAACATTTCTGTGACTATGCCAGTAGAGAGCATATTTCCCATCAAGTAGCCATTATATTTTATAAGAGCCTAGTACGTATCATGTTTCTGCCTTGAACAAAATAACCCTGCCAAATCAATATTGCTTGCCTTTCTTAAACACTTACATGGTTAAAACTCAGTGTCCTTTACTCCTTCCTTCCCCCATAGCTTTCATTTCTGGTATTAGGAAAGTAGTCTGATTAAATTAATCCATATTGAAGTTTGAGTGGATCTTGTTAATCATCTCAACGTTGATTCAAGTGAATCTCTTGCTTTGTGAAGCTGCAGGCAGTATAGGGGAGTTCTTTAAGGGGCATGGCTATCTAAGCAATGAACTGAGAGAGGCTATAAAAAGGCTTTATAACCTCAAGGCCACTTCTGACCAGAGTTCTGTTTTCAACGGGTGCTGGTAGGCCAGGTGCCTGCCTTTTGGGAGTGTAATCAGAGTAACCACAGGCTATCAGCAGAATTTGACCTCAGCCTAATAGTATATCTGTAAAATTAATTCCTGGACAGTGGATATACAGAGCTTCCTCATCTTGCGATATGTTACACCCTGATTAACCCATCAAAACTTTGACAATATCTTAAGTCAAAAACGCTTTTAATACATCTCACCTACCGAACGTTGTAGCTTAGCACCTTAAACATACTCAGAACACTTATACTAGCGTTCAGTTGGGCAAAATCATCTAACATAAAGCCTGTTTTATAATAAAATTTTGAATATCTCATGTAATTTATGGAATACTGTACTGAAGATGAAAACAGAATGGCTGCGTGGTTACAGAATGGTTGCAAGTGTGTTGGTTGGTCTCTGTAGTGATCACATAGTGGGCAGAGCTGCGGCTCGCTGCCACTGCCCAGCATCATGAGAGAGTGTAGTGCTGCCCAGGAGAACATTAAAAATTCCAGGTAAGGTTTCTACTGAATGCTTTTCTTTTTTTCACACTATTGTAAAAGTGAAAAATTGTTAAGTCAAACCTAAGTCTGGGACTCTCTCGTGTGTATACTTTTAATACATGGTCTCTTTATATGACCCCGTATCCTTCAGTGGGTGGATCTACAGTGTCATTTGCAGGCTTCTTTATCTCTGCCTATACCTTAAATACTAGTCTCTTTAGTACCCCTTTTCTCCTCGCTCCAAATCTGAAGTCCAGATCCAGATTCTCTCTAAGCACAGAACCATGAATTCAGTGATCTACTAAACAAACACATCCAGACACATCCAGTCCCCCTTTCCTCTCTTCTAAACCCCATTATGCCTAACTGGATAATGTCTAAGAAAGAAGAAAATAATATCCGCCTTTAAGCAGGGAAAGGAGATATGGGAGAGACAAAATGAACATAAGATCTTGCTAATAGTTTGCTCCAAACTGGCAAAATTTAAGACATCAGTAGAGTAAGTAGACATCATTATGGGGCTTAGGTTAAAAACAGGTACTGCAAAAATCACCAAAGAATCTATAACTTGTAATCCATCAGAAGAAAACTAATGGAGTATAGTAATGGAGACAGGGCTAATAGTGCAGTATGAAAGATGTTAAACTAAAGGGCCGACATACCAATTCATTAAAATAAATGTAAAATGATAGCCTAACACATTCTGAAGTTCTATTTTTCATATTTTAATTATATTCAATTAAATTATATAACATTGAATTATAAGGTCCAACAATATGTACACACCTGTATACAGAAAAATTGAAAAATTAAATGTCTACTAGTAAATATGAACCAAAGCAATCTGGGGAAGCAATTTTAATACATGACAAAAATAGAATTTAAGGCAAAAAGGAAAAGGGAATGAATGACACATAATACTGGTAAGAGGAAGAATAGAACAAAAAGATATGTCCATCAAATATGTATGTAACCTAACAATATGTCCTAAAAATAATAACAAATATAAGTACAAGGAAACATAAATCAGAAATTGTAGCTGGAGATTTTAACAAAACTTTCTGAGAAACTTAGTGGATCAAACAAAAAAGCAGATTAAAAACTTAAACTATTAAATGCATATAGAATTTCCTGTTTGATACAGAGAATATATATTACTTTCCAGCATACATGGAATATTTACAGAAGAGATTTAGGCCACAGAGGAAACTAGTAAATTCCAAAAAACAAAAGACTATCTTCTTTGATCATAATGCAAATGTTCATAGGCAGTTTTATTTGTAGTAATAGAGCTGGAAACAACCTAAATGCTCATCAGCAGATAAATTGATAAACATCTTGTGATATATTCAAACAATGAAATACTCTTTAGCAAGTACAAAAAAACAGTAAGCCTTACTCACAGGGGTACATTATGTATAGTTTCATTTATATGAAATCCCAGAACAATCTAATCAATAGTGGATGCTTAGAACTACAGGTGGTGACATGAAAACGCCCTGGAGAACTTACAGGGATGTGCTTGTTCCTGGCCCAGTAATTCCACTCTTTGGTATTGACAAAGGAAATGCATATACAGCTAAATGTGCACCAAAGACACAAGAATATTTTTAGTATTATTTGTACATGTCCCAGCTTTGAAATGACCAAAATATTCATGAAAGTAGACAAGATATTTAAATCATGTTGCAGTCATACAGTGAAATGCTATGAATATACAATAAATATGCATTAATTACTGCTACATGTAACAGAGTGGATGGTTCTCAAAAGTACAATATTGGATAAAAAGGCAATCCAAAAATAATTCTGTATGATTCTATTTATACGAAGCCCAAAACCTATCAACATGAATTGGTGCTTTGGTTACCTGAGGGAGGACAAGAGGGTGTTACCTGGAAGGAAGCAGGTGATGATGGCCATTGATGTTCTGTGTCATTCCATCTCTTGATCTGAGAGATTGCACAGGCAGGTTCAGTTTTTGACAATTCACGGTGTATGCTTTTTTCTAGATACATATATTCAAAAGCTTAATATTAAAAGATATATTTAGGAAAATGGAAAAATACAATAAAAACAAGTGAAATACAAGAGAATTCTACAATCACAGTTTAGTAAGAAATATCAATGTAGAGAATGCCTGGAAGAGTATACAGTAGAATAATTAAAAAACAGCTTTATAGAGAGAAAATTGGCATACAATGAACTTACATTTAAAGTGAACAGTTGAATATTTGACACATGTACCTGCCTGTGAAACCATCACCATAGTCATAATAGTATATTCATCACCCCTCAAAATTTCTTTTTGTAATCCTTCCAGTCTCACCCCTCCCTGCCCTGTCCCTAAACCAGTGATAGGGATAGATTTATTTACCTTTATC